CTTCTCTCTCTCTCTCTCTCTCTCTCTCTTTCTTTCTCTGTCCATAATTGCAGTAGCCCTCTCTCTCTCTTCACCCATAGTGGCAGCAGCACTCTCTCGACCATATGTCTCGCTCCACTGTGCCGCCTAGAGCAGCCATCTCTCACCTCTGCTCTTTCATTCTTGCACAGAGTACTAGTTCCTGGCCATTGCTCTTTCTCTACACGTGGGTACATCAGGGTAACTCTCTCTCTCTCTCTCTCTCTCTATAAGGTTACAACCTTAAACAGTCCAATTAAGGTGCACCACCAAATTTTATTATAACATGTAATTTTGGTGTAAATATTTCTTAGGATTATCTGAAAATCTATTTTCATATCTAGTTATAAAATTTTAAACCCCAAAATTGGTTAAAATCAAGTAGATCTATAAACATACGAAAATCTTGAAAATAGACGGTCTAGATAATGTGTTGCAAGATGCACTATTTCTGGGTCTCAAAATCTTTTTTTTTTTTATATTCATACATCTCGATCTTGAGATGATCAATTAGAGGGTTTTTCAAGATTCACTATTTCTGGGTTTTTGGTGGTTTAGGTTTTTATCTTTATGTTCCTAAATGGTTGAGTTTTTCACAGTGAGGGATATCTGGTTTTTGGTGGTTTAGGGCGTTGATTTTATGCCTTGTTGGTTGATTGGTGTTAGTTGATATCTGCTATTATTAAATGGACAGCGGGTGATCATGGTAGTCTTAGCCAAAGACTGTTGGTTTTTAATTGTTTGCTTTGAGTTTGGGCAATTATTGATTCATGTAATTTAGGGCTTTCTTATGAGTTATTTAGTATATTGTTATATTGTGGTGAGTCTCTCTATGTGATTATGGTTGACTGAATTTGTTCATTTTCATCAGCCTATGCATTGTTTTCATGTGCAAGTTCTCATGGATCCAAGTTTTTTGTATATCATATTCGTAGGTTACTCTTAATGTTGGATGATACGGTCCAAAACTAGTTGTGGATTTATTCTGAATACTTTCTGTCTCTCTATCTGTTAACAAGGTACTGATCTCTATCTGTTAATGAGGTACTGATTTTGTTCATTTTCATCAGTTTATGCATTGTCTTGATTTTGGGAATCTCACAGATCCAAGCATATGCGTATCAAATTTTTGGTTTACTCAGGTTAACTTCATCAAAAAAAAAAATGTTGGTTTACGCATGAGATTGGATGGTACATTTACTGCAGTCCAAGGGAACTTCAACTGCTCTGGTTTCTCACAGATCCAAACATATGCGTATCAAATTCTGATTCCATATTAGATCAATTTCTTGTAGCACACAACCAATCATTTTCATTAACAAGCGTGATTTATTTGAAAACCTGCCTATCTCCCAGGAATAATTGTTCTAAGAATTTGGAGTTTACTCAAAAAAACAGTTTTTGATCTTCAAAAGCTCTGGTTTCTGAGGTCTTGTCGATAACAGGGCCTATTCTTGATTGAATTCTTTGAAATTTGTATGCAGAAATCACCTATGAAATTGTTCTAGTTTGATACTCATAGGGGCCTGAGTTGTTCAATTTTCATGGTTTGCTATTTGTTAATTTTGATTTCATATCCATCAAGCTTAAGATAAGATTGTCCCCCATCATTTTTCCTATCATTAAAACACCTTGACTCAACTTGAATTTAGTTTGCAACCTACATAATGCCTGGTTTGGATTAGTGCCCATCTATGTTGTCACCTATAGTGTGAGTTTTATCAAAGTATATTATGCTAATGTCTAGAAAGTAGTGCTCCCTCTCTTAAGGACATTGAGCATACTAATTTTGGCCTTAATCACAAGTTGGCTCAAGGTGAACCTAGTCATTTAATCCTATGGGATAAGTCCCATATGTGATTCTATTTGTAGTTGTCATCAAGCATGACCACTATATATACTTCTATATACTGTTAATATATATAATGCTGTCGGGTTTGTTATTACCATCTTATGCATCTACACATCATGAGGGCATACCCTAGCCATTGCAACCATACCCTATCCCACATGATCATCCCTTGACATGCCATGATGCCATGATGGCGACACCCACATCATGCTGCCATGATGGCGACACCCACATCATGCTGCCATGATGGCCACCCGCACACCATTTTCCCTAGATTTTTATGCCCATGCAGTAGCTATGTTACCTTGATGATCGTGCTTATGATGTAGCCCATATACCTTGATGATCATGCATATGATGCAGCCCATACATGACCATGATAGGCGTGATCATAGTCATTTGATCTCAATGAGTAATCACACTTAGTTGGAGCTCATTTTTTAATGGTTATATTAGTTTAGTTGCTGCATTTTCCACCATGGTGATTACTCCATTGTTGCAGCCCGTCTTCTAACATGAGCAAATCATAATTGTAGCACATACACCATTAGTGATCACACCAAATTTGCGGCCTGCATATCATATTGATCATCTTGTAGTTGTAGCTGATGTTTCATTAAGATGAGGCCCCAATTCTATTTGCTTTTCACATCATGGATGCTGCCCCATCTTGTGGGTATACCCTTTATTATCACAGTTTTAGGATAAAAGGTCAGCAATCATAATATAATCCTATGGTATGTGGTATACTTGTAGTTCATTGGGCATCCATTCTATGGGATGGACCGTGATTAAACGTGGGACCTAGTGGAGCAAGACCTTTGCAACGTTTTTATCGATAAAATTGTTTGTATTCTTTTGTTTGGACAAGTGCTTGAAACTTTTTCATGCTGTGGAAGTGTAACTTTTATTGGATTTGGTCTTTTGAGTTTTGCATAAACTTTAATGGAGTTATATTATTCCAGATGATAGTGCGATAGTTATTTGGGACTGTTCTCTCGAGTACACAGTAAAATATTTTTATCATCATATTGGGTGCTCAACTTAGTGGAGTTATATTATTCCAGATGATAGTGCGATAGTTACTTGGGACTGTTCTCTCGAGTACAAAGTAAAATATTTTTATCATCATATTTTTGGCCATTGGTCTAAGAAGAGTGAGGACCGTAAACTTTTCCTTAACCCGTCCCAAGCCCGGGCAAAAGTGGTGGGTTGTATTAAGTAGTCAGCCAACGTAAAACTTTGCGAAAACTTCTCATGAATCCGGAATATATTCAAGTGGAGTATGGCTCTTAGCTGACCCCAATTAGTTAGGACAAGGCTTCGATGATGATGATCATATTTTTGGTCATGCAAGTTTGTTATGAGTAGATACAATTGTATTCCTTGGAAAAAAGAACACGACTAGTATTATCAAGAAGTGGTGTGTATAGTCAAGGATAGAATTGGCGAAATATCCTCGAAATTGAGCTTGTCCTTGGATGTTAGTCGCATCTTTAGAAAGTAAATTGACTATGCATCGAACTACAATTTAATGTGATTCTCATCCTTTAGGAAAATTGTAATTTAAAGCGAGTATGCTATATGTGGTGCTAAGTGTTGGATCAGTGATAATGCTATCATGTACATGTTGTCCATTCTTGGTTGATGAGTTGGCAATTCATTATTACTCTCTAACAGTTTTTAAGCATTTAATAGATTGATCTTAATTTTTGACAATTAGGTGGATGTAAGTTGGTGCATTTGCAGTTTATCATTGCAGCGCTTTCTTTTTTGGAAAAAAATTTCAAGGCATTGAAGCATGAAGCACAGCCTTTTATCCCATTGGACCTGGTCAAATTATTTTCTTTTTTGGACAAGCAAGAAGTAGTTTATGAGGGTTGTATTTTGTTTTTGCTTATATTTAGGTCCTTTGTCAAAATCCTTCGTAGTTGCCCACAAAATGGGGCAATACCACAAGATTTTTTATTTCTTGTTCCTCATGTCCATCATATGTTGTACGAGAAACATTCTGACGTAGATTGATTCCGACATTCCTTTACAGGATGAGAATGTGGGCTTTTCCTGGTTTTTGTTACAGATCCTTATTTACTCCCCAGATGGAAGGTGCCTTTTCAAGTATCAAGCCTGCGGAAGTGGTTTGGATGTTAAAAACTGTTGCTTGATCTCATGTGGCCAGTTTCTAGCAGTTGGTAGCTATGATCAGATGCTAAGGGTCTTGAATTGTCTAACACGGAATATTGTTCCCGAATTTATGCTCATAATTTCTGTTAGAGGTCCATTTTCTGCTGGCATTTTCAATGTCAACATTATATTTTGAAGCAACTGGCATGCATGCATGCATTTCTGAGCCCCAAATGTATAAAAAGAATTGCCTTATGATAATTGCGTAAGAGATTGATCAGCCCTAGCAATTTGATATGCATGTTTGTTTCGCACGTGAAAGAATTCCCTCATGTGGTTATTAGAATTCCCTCATGTGGTTATTAGATACGAGTTGGTGATGACTTTGCTCAGACTATAGGGGCCAATGGCACTGGTGAGCAGTGTTGAGAAAGCTTTATGTTATTTGATTTTATCTATAATTGAAAGAAACTAGATTAATTAGGTTGAATACTATGTTCTATTTGGTTTTATGTTAATTGGTATATTCTATAATTTCTCTTTCTTTTTTTTCTGAGTAGTTGTAAGAATATCTATATATTATTTTTGATAAAGCACATAATTGATATCCATATTCTTGTAGGCTATTTTGAGAAAAAGATAGAATCACATAGCAAAAGAAAAGACAAACATATGGGAGCTGTGTACCTTGGATCATGCTTACATATTGCGTGTTAAAGAAGGTTATTTGGTCGATAATTTTGCATGTTTAGGCACTGTGGGTGAAGTTATTTGCATTCGATTTGCCCAAAAACAAAAAGTTGTATGCATCAGAGAGCTGAAGATTCACTATGAATAATTATATATAAAATTATAACCTCACTTTTTTCCCGATCTCCATGAATAAAAGTGAATTGTGCTTGATTTTCATTTCATTGTCTGTCTGAAATATATAATTTTATCATGTTTATGCTTGTGGTCAGTATTCAGAAAATGCTTCTCAATGTTCGCTGCAAGCTAATGAATGTTCCAGTGAATTTGCCTTTCCAGAAACCTGCTCTGGCAAATCTAACCCAAAGCAAGGACTTGGTAAGCCTTCAAGTGACCTTTCTTTCTGGTCATGGTGACATATTTCTCCTATTTATGTGCACTGCATTGATGTTGTTTTGAATTTAGTCTTTCCCGTCATCAGTCAAGAGTCGAGACTGATTAACGGGAGGGCATTAAAGGCTACTAAAGAAGAAGAACGGAGTGGGAGAAAGCCTTCCTGAAAATGGCGCTACATCCCATGATGGTGGAGAGGAGGGATCAACAACAAAGGATATGCATTCCTTAATTGTGCATATGGCCAGACTTGGGCCTTTACCTTGTTTGTTGCTAAGTGTTTGTTTCTTTTTGCTCCCTCATGGTAGTCGTTTGTATCCGTAGTGCTAATTTATCTCATTATTAGTAGGTGGAACTTGGTAAGTGTTTATTTTATTTTTTCTTTTTCTTTTGTGATTTAAATGTTGTGGACAACATTCCTGGTGATATTCATCTTTGCGAGTCTCACTCTCACCCTTATGTGAACATATTATAATTGATGCGTATGGGTATTTGCACTCAGGTGAGGCTTATATAAAGTACCCCCACTATATTATATAAGGTGCTCCTCAAAAATTTACTGGAAGATGTAGTACGGCTATAAGAAACCTTGCAATGATTCGAAAATCCATGTTCAATCCTAATGATAAAATTTAAAATTTTAAAATGGTGCAAATCGAGCACTTTTATAACACTCGATAATTAGGAAAATAAACGTTCCAATTATAAGATGTGCCACATTTAGGACTTGAATCATATTTTTGTTTATATCCATGTATCTCGAGGCCAAATGATCAATTTAAGGTTTTCGAACATCATAGTACTCTTTGTTATTGGATTTTGGATGAGCTATAGTATAACATTGCAACCTTATATAAACTTTTTAGCTTACATTATGCTTTATTGTGGTATCACCAGGCTTGGCTTTCTTGGATTGAAGATGAGACTTAGAATTATCTACTACTTGTGTTTGGTATGATGTATTGCTGTGTCCTCTTGTGTAACTTTGATCTCCTTTACTTTCACTTAGTATATATTTTTAGTAACTTCATAAAAAACTTTGATCATGACAAGCCTTGGCTAACCTCTTCTGGACAATACTTCTCATACCCAGTGTAAAAGTTTGATCATGAGAAGCCTTGACTAACCTCTTCGGAGCAACACTTGTGTTTTAACTCTTATCACAAAATAGATATATCAATACCTAATTCAAGAAAGAGAGCATTTTAAGATTAATAATTCGTAAAATAGAGATATCAATACCCTGTCAATATTTCATAGGTAGGGAAAGAAAAACAAATTATAATATGTGTATGTAATGATGTGAACCGCCCACTTTGTTAGTCATGTTGTGGATGGGTAATTTTCAAAATATCTTATTTATTGTTGTTTGTCATGCTGTGGATGGGTAATTTTCAAAATATCATATTTATTGTTGTTAGTCATGATGTGGATGGGTAATTTTCAAAATATCGTATTTATTGGACAAGTATCGTTTTCAAGATGTTTTTATTTTACATGTATAAATGCCTTCTCAACAATATTTGCAATAATAATTAAATGTTAAAAACACCCCAAGGGCATATTTAGTTCGCGGGAAATGTACTAGAGAAAACTATTGGTATGGTGATACTTTAGTGGATCCCAAAATTTTGAATCAAAAAATAAAAATGTATACAAAAATACTATTTACTTTTGATATAAGGAGGTTATGATCCCTCTTGTTACTCATATTTTAAATCAGGTGGCCATAAGTGTGTCATTGATTAAATTCAAAATTAAAAAAATTTATTGAATTTCTTAACACAACTTAAGCTATTTAATTTCACATCTAATTGTTAGGATTGTGAACTCTTTTATAAAGCGCTTTTGCTTGAGGGAGTAAATATATAATATGCTCCTAATGAAGAATGCCATATACACTATTTTGCTATATATCTCTCCTATGAATCTTAGATGTCCCAAGTCTTACGCGGTGCTCACAAGGTTTGGTGGAGGCCAAAGAAAGGAAAAGGACATTAGTTTTTAATGGAGGGAAAAGCTTTTTATGCTAATAGGGATAGGGAATTCATATATGCCATGTGTCTCCCCCATATTTGAATGGATGGATGAGATGGCCCCAACTGTAATGTCACATCTAAATTTTAATTTATTTTAAATTTTTTCTACAAATTATATTGACATCAAATTTGGAGTGTTCATCCTTTCATATGATCGTACATATAAATATATATAAAAATTATTGATAAATAAAATAATCAAAACACCTCTGAAAGTTTTAAAAGTATTTTAGTCAATTTATTTATCAAAAATAAAGTTTTTATCTTTCTCAAGTACACTCCATTGAGAAAATGACATGCGTTAGGCTCACTTGTGATAGTATAGTTGAAGCTATCCCGACCATTTCTTCACATCATATTGCTGATAAGAGTTGCATATATGGATTCCTTGGGTAGAGAATAGTGGAGATCGCTATTATTTCCTTCATCGTCCCTCTCATTTCTCTCCTCTTTTGTAAGAACCACAAAATTCTCTATTTCATGTACACTCCCTGGCTAATTTTATTGTCAACAATCGTTGGTCTGATCCGATTGTTTATCAACTGATGCCTTGACAGGACGGGTCCAAAGTAACATTGGGTTTTGTTTAAAATCCATCAAAGTGGGCCATGGTCATGCATCTTTTAATAGGTATTTTGAAATAAAAATCAATAATATGGGTAAATTATTAAATAATTCATTCCTCTAGGGTATTTTCACAAATTTCCCTTAAATAAATTCAAAAATATCTTATTTTTAACAACAATATTCTAAGCTTTATCTATGATTGAAAAGTTTCATGCAATTTTTGTTATATAGCATTTTAGCATCTATCTATCTACTTTTCACATAGTAAACCATTAAAATTCTGCTGCGTTTTCTTTTTCTTTCTTTTTTTGTTTTTTTCTTTGGTTCAAATGGAAATAATTTCCAAAAAGTTAATCTCATAAAAAAAAACAACTATTTACCACTTTCGGTTTATAAAATAACAATCAGAAAAAAAATATTCCCCTTGAAATGTATGTCCAAGAGATGGGCCAAAATAACAAAAAAATATGCATATGAAAATTATTTCCAAAAGATGGCCGAAATATCTAAAAATCATAATCAAACAAGAGCACATATATTATTTTTTGTTGAGAGTATTGTTTACTTCTATTCTTTCTGTTAGAAGACCTAATTGGAAGGATATTTTTAATTGAACACTTAAGAATTACTATATGATTATTCTAAAAAAATTGAAATTTGAGTTTTCTAACACTTAGATTCACAATTAAAAAATTGGATGGTCTTTATTCAATTTTGAAACATCATTCTTTTAAGTGCATAAAGAATAAAATTAATTAATTTTTTTTATTGAGGTTAATATATGAGTTGAAGAGCTTACATCCTTAAAATTTGAGGTACTAAAATTAATTTTAGGTGGGGGTTGAATCCGAAGGAATAAATAGATATTGTACTCCCGCGGGAGTAGAATAGTTTTTGGCATCAAATAAATAGGAATAACCCCTCTGAACCCTAACTCACCTCTGTTCGCCGTGCGCTGCCGCTCCCCCACCTTCCCCCACCGCTCCTCCGCGGCTGCTTCAGGTACTCTCTCTCTCTGAACCCTAACTCACCTCTGTTCGCCGTGCGCTGCCGCTCCCCCACCTTCCCCCACCGCTCCTCCGCGGCTGCTTCAGGTACTCTCTCTCTCTCTCTCTCTCTCTCTCTCTCCTCTCTCCTCTCTCTCTCTCTCTCTCTCTCTCTACCCCTCTCTCTCTCCTCTCTCTTCCTCTCTCTCTAAATCCACCACTCTCTCTCTCCTCTCTCTCTAAATCCACCACTCTCTCTCTCTATGATAGTTGGGTTTCAGATGCTGTGGAAAATTGCACGGCATTTTCGCAGCGGTACTTTAAGAAAGACGACCTGCCCATTCACGTTGATTCCCTCATTTTGGCTTTTTGCTTGTATATTTGCTAGGGTTTAACACATTCTTTATGTATTTTTGCCCTTCCATCCTTTCAGTTACCCTCTTCTTTGTTGATTGAGCTTTTCTATAATCATATTGGTCAAAGGATACTTTCTTTTCTTTGGTTTTCTTGATGAATGTAGAATGCCATCAGATCTATGCTGCCGAGTATTCATATGCCAGTTTCCGGATTTTTGCATGAAGAACTGACCAAAATCTTTCCCAAAAATGCTTCTCTGACTATTATAGTACATTGGCAATTTTATAATCTGTGAATAAGAAACTTTAAACTTATGATTGGCAGACTATGACTGAATTCTGGAACAGATAGAAAAATATAATCTGCTCTGAGTTGTAAAATCACATATGCTTGTCACCAAGGAAAACAGTTGAAACAGTTCACCGATTTCCAAAACACCCCAAGGAGACAATAATTGATAATTAAATTCACTTATCTATTCTCAAAAGGAAGATAGTTCAGGAGAATTTCCTTGTTCTTTTTATGATAACACCTACTGCAATGCCCTTATATTTTCTTTCATTTTCTCTGGCTGCTGTAATTTTCTGTGGAGAACCCTAGGTCTCCGGATTTTGTAAACTTGTTTCTTCTGATGAATATCTTCGTTGCAAGCTCATCATTAATCTGTGAACTAGGATGTAAAGCTATTTAAGAATGTTCCCAAACTTTTGTTTTGCTCAATATAGGTGTGCATTTTCCTGAAAAGTTATCTCTGCAAGTTCTTATTTGAAAGTTTTTTCCATAGAATTGCTTTAGTTTTCACGGAGGAATTTGTAATGGTTTTGGTTGAATTGCTTGATTCTCCATACTGCACCATTAACCGTTTGTCAGTGACTTCTATCACTGTTTCTTAAGTCTAAGCTTTATGTTTCTTTTTTATTTAATAAAATGTTACTGTATTCAACTACTACTACTCATTTTTTTTTAAGATTCTCTTTGATTCTAAATGATATTAAATTGTTTCTGATAGTGGTTTTTGTGTTTAATCAATTCGATGCTTAAAATTGGATCCCAGTTCATTATTTTTTACTGATTTTTATGTTCTCTGGAGTATGAAGAATTATATATTTATTTTCCTATTTTCTTGCTATTTCTACTTTCTACAGGGTTTAATGCTGTTCTGTTTATGTTTTCTCTATTTATGGCCTCATTTTCAGTATTTTGTGCTAAATGCTATTGATTGTTTATGTAAATTATCTGAAGGTTTACTGACATTCTTGGGTTTCTTGTTTGATTGCTTCTAATATTGACACTTACTAGTAAGAATACTTCATTGTTTTGATTGCTTCTAATATTGACACTTGTTTTCTAGATTAACACTTAACAAGTCTATCATTAGAATTCCTAGAATTTATCTATGGAGTTACCAAACGCACCCTAATTTCTCTCTAAAAGCCCTTACAGTTTTCTCAGGCTTTTGATCTCCGAGCTAGCTATGGTGGGAAGAACAGTGAAGGATGTCTCTCCTCACGAGTTTGTAAAGGCTTACTCTGCCCATCTCAAGAGATCTGGAAAGGTTTGGCCCCAGTTTCACTATGGTTCTTGTTTCTCTCCGTTCATCATGGCTTTCTCTCTCCAAAGGTTTATTAGTTGTCTCTCCATCATCTTCTTTGTGCTTATTGATTCATCCCTAATTTTTGTTAGTCACTGAAAAACTTTGGGAATCTCAGTTTCATTTATTCAGCTCTCTGGACTCCTATTTGTGGAAGTTGCTTTTTGCTCATTTTTTGTCTAGCTTCTCTCTTAGATTGGATTTATGGGCTCTTGAAGAAAACTCCTATTTGTGGAAGTTGCTTTTTGCTCATTTTTTGTCTAGCTTCTCTCTTAGATTGGATTCATGGGCTCTTGAAGAAAGCTACTTTTTTTTTAATATTTTGATCTCCTTGTTTCTCGCCATAGCATGTGATGGTAACTGTAAAATCGTGGGACAGACATTGCCTTAAAGATCTATTTTACCTATTTGTGATAAATCCTGGTTTTTGTTACTCTATCTGAGCTGTTTAGATGTTTGAACCTTGAGGTTGTTTTTTGGTACCACTTGATTGTAGATTCATGCATTATCTGGTGCATTAGGTCCTAGGTTTCATCCATGTTGACTGGGACATTATTTTTCATTGGGAAACCATGACATTCTTGTCAACATTAGGTTTGCATTCCTAAGCTTGGACCCATATTGTTCTATATGTCATGGTAACCATATTAAAGATCAAACATTAAGGATGTGACTTGTTCTGTTCAATCTTAATACACAGTCAACATTATCAAAAAACATAAAGGATGTGATTTGTTAATGATGTTTAGTATTTGAAGATAAAGCTGTTGCCATCCAGTATTTTATTTCATCACTTTGACCTTATTTACTTGAGTTAGATTGCTGCCTTTCTTGTTTTGCATGTAACAAGGTTGCCAGTGCAACATCTCATGTTTCTTACTTGCAATCTTAATTTCCATGATTAATCCATAATGCAATTGAATATTTTCTCGGTAACTTTCCCCACTTCTAGGTTCTAGCGTCATCAATTTTCAAATAGACTTATATCCTTTGTGCATGTGGTGTTTATTACACATTGTAATTATATTCTGCTTCCTTGAAATTTCATTGAATTGTCCTTTCAATGAATTAATTTGTTCTTATTAGGATTATAAATTAGTTATTAAGGCAAATGGATTTTGATTTGATGATTCAACAGAGTTCATGCTTCTTCCATGGTTTTTTTGACCGTTTAGCTTTTTACATTTGAAAATGGTTATTAGGAAGGATAGGACAAATTATTGTATAAATGAAGGGTGCAGCAGTTTGATTAGGGTCTCGGTGAGGCCAGGATAAAAATTATTGCTTTTGGAGAAGCCCTTAAGGAACCACAAGAACAGAAATCTTGCATTTCTAAAGTTTTGATTGATTACTCTCTGACAATGTTGTTTTCGACATCAAAATTGTGACACTGTAAATTGTGTATGACAAACCAAACAATAACATCGTTTTGCGTAAATTAAGCAATTAATGAAAATAATCATTATCCTGAACAAAGGACTTGCTGGTGCATATTGCAGTATGGATGTAGATGGGAAGAATAAGCTGATTTTAGGTTAGTGTAGTGGTCATAGTGTAGTCAGAATGGCTAAAGAGGTTAAGAAATGGGATTGGTCAACCTTTAATAATGTTCTTGTACTTTGGTGGTGGGAAGTTGTTCTGCACTCGATGCAGTGGTGTGATAAAAATCTCTGGACCAATATTTGTTGCCTTGTCTATGAAATAAAATTTTGGAGGACTCATGACTTTAACATTGTGTTTTTTCCAAGTTGTTATTGTGGGAAACTAGTATCGCTGTAGTTCAGAAAATTGAAGTTTATAAAGAACTCCTTTGGCTACCTTTTTTTACTTGGGTTGGGAAAGATAGAAGTACCTAGGAGAAATTGAAGTTTATAAAGAAGTCCTTTGGCTACCTTTTTTACTTAGGTTGGGAAATATAGAAGTACCTAGGAGATATATTTCAGTTTCATAAGACAGCAAGATAGGCATTAAATATTTATGAATAAGATATAAAGAGATCTACTGATGCTTAAGTTCCATGGTGAGGTGGCTAGAACAGGGTTATCAGAATAGTCTCTTTCGCAATGTGTAGTGGCTGGAGCTTTTCTCATTAGGAAGGTAGGAGAGCAATACTTGACTTGAAAAGATGAGCTCCAGGTTCTTGAGGATTCTCCACTGTGGCCTTATAAAATTTTTTTTGGGAATTGGTATATCGAGGGTTTCTTTGAGCTATAGGGGCCTGGGAAAATACTTCATCATTTTATAGGGGATTTGTTAGAGCTCTTGTGTTTCTTCATTTGTATACCTGGGAGTTAGATGTAGGAGATTAAGCTATGGATATTCCCTCCCTAAATCAAACAAGGCCTTCTTCAATTATTGATCACTTGCATCTCAGAAGTCTTTTGTCATATTGCTTTTATGGGATGCTTAGGCCTAATGGAGAGCTTTCTGGTTTGACTAGGACCTGGTGGTCTAGCAGTTTCAGTTTGTAGATAACACGTTCTTTTTCTGGACATTAAAACCAAGTCAGCTGATCACATTTGCTGCTTTAATTGTTAGGCGACATTATGAATTTTGCCGATTGGTTGAAATGCAAGTGAATGTTCTTTGATATTGTTAATTTCGCTTACCACCCTTTATAGAAACATGACTTTGTGACGGAGAGATATGACTGTTGATTGTGGAAGAACCAGATTCTTATCCTTTCGAAGCAAAAAGCTTTCCTTGTTAATTAGGGGTGGCAATGGGCCCCGGACCCGACCCGGAGTGGGTATACCCAACACGGGTCCGGGTATGTGTCCAGCATTTGGACCCGTGGGTAGGGTCCGGGTCCTACAAAATAGATCCAAAATTTTTTGTATATGGACCCGCCCCATACTTGACCCGGGACCCGTTACCTTACTACTGTCGAGAATCCCATCATTCTCTCTCTTCTCTTTTCATCTATATGGACAATAAACATAGGGCTAGTGATAGTGATGAGGATTTAAATGAGTGCATTGATATGCTAACAGCTATCAGAGCAGGCGTGGCAGCCTTGCAAAGAAAAGTGTAGCACTTGGCAGCCTTGCAGAGAAAAGTAGAGAACAACATTGAAAATTGAGCACGTACAAGAAGAGAGAGAGAGTAATGCAAGACAATAATGAGGAGAGAGAGGAATACAGAGGCAGGGGTAGGATTTGTGCAAGGAGAGAGAGATAGGAATATAGAGGAAGGTGTAGGATCGAAGAGAGAGAGAGAGGAATATACAAAGTGACAATTTGGAGGAGGGAGAAGAATGGAGATGAGAAGGGTTGGAGTTATGAATCAGGAAGAAATTGGAATCCTAAAAAGCAAAATTAGTGGTTCTTGGTTTGAAGAGAGAAAAAAAGAAAGGGTTTAGAGGAGTAGAGAGAGAAAGGGGAGACGAGAGATAGCATCACTGTCTTGGGTTGTTGTTGTTTACAAAGCCTTTGACGAACTCCATTGCAGAATGCTTCTTCAAAACCATAAAACCATGAACTCCCTTGCAGAACGCGTCTTCAAAACGATGGGATATTAGATGGGCACTTTATGGGTTATTAGATGGGCATATCACTGTCTCTCTCTTCATAACCAAGAACCCAAACCGCAAATCCCCAAGTACTAAAAAAAGGGTCAAATCCTCTCTCTCTCCCTAGAATTCAATTTCAAGGAGGGAGAAAAGTGAGAGGAGAGGAAGAGAGAGAAAATACGCAATGGAAAGAAATACAGAGGCAAAGATTGAGGGTGGTGCTCTTCTTCCTACTGAAATCAAATGGACAAAGAGATAGAGAGACCTTTCCCAGGTTAGGTGCAGAGGCAAAGATTGAGGTTGGGTACAGGTCCAAAAGCCTCTCTCGGGTACGGATACGGGGACGATTATTTTGGACCCGGTGGGTCCAGTTCCGGGTCTGGGTACATATGCACTCTTTCGGGTCTAGGTCCTGCTAAACTTGACCCATACCGGACCTGTTGCCACCCCTATTTTTAATGCTTTAACATACAATTCTTTGATGTGGTTGGCCTATTCCCTTCCAATTCTAGATACGAGTTAAGGTTTTTTGCTTTTGGTATTGCTGAGTTTGTCTGCTTTTGGTATTACTGAGTTTGATGTTGTGATTGTTATTCACTAGGTCTGTTTATGTTGGATTTGCAAGATATAATCTACTCTTTCTCATACCCTCAAGAGAGTATTTATATAATTACTCTTTCTCCCCCTCAAGAGACTATCTGCTCTCTCTCTCTCTCACACACACACACTCACTCCGTCTTGAAGATTATAATTAATCATGCTAGGTGATTCTTGTGTTTTAGATTGAGCTTCCCGAATGGACTGACCTTGTGAAGACGGGCACATTCAAGGAGCTTGCCCCGTATGACCCTGATTGGTACTTCATCAGGGCTGGTACGTGTCTAGTTTACTTTTGTTTTGCTTTTGTCCTGGAGGCTTCCAAGGAAAACACCTGTTTATTTCTATAATTTTTGTACACGCCAATCCTTTATGTTTCAAAACGATGCCTTTCTTCCCTCTTCTCCCCCCTCCCTTACCCCCCAATCTCCTGCGGGGTGCCCTTCCACTTCTATCTGTCTCAAATGGGTTTCTGTACCAATGGGTTCTTATGGAGATACAAAATTCGTGACATCTTTGCTTCGAAACAGGAACTTTTTCCTTAAAGAAGAATCGCCGGACGGCTTAGTGACAATAACTTGGTCTCTCTCTCTCTCTCTCTCTCTCTCACACACACACACACACGCACACACACACACATTCTCATGCAAACCACAGAGAGAAATGTGGCCATAGAACTAACAGATTGAGTTGGAGAGTGACATTTCTGTGAAGATATCCAGATCTCTCTCTCTCGCTGTGTCCTTGGGATGGATGGTCAAAAACTCATGGTCTGAAACCTACATATCCATTCTGTTAAATACTGTATGGTTGCAAAATCTATCCCTTTTTCTCTTTGTAATTTTTTATATTTTGCTTGTTTGTAGCCTCTATGGCCAGGAAAATTTACCTTAGGCAAGGTATCGGCGTGGGGGGCTTTCAAAAGATCTATGGTGGGCGCAAGAGGAATGGAAGCCGCCCTCCCCATTTTTGCAAGAGCAGTGGAGCTGTGGCTCGTCACATTCTCCAACAATTGGAGAAGGTGAAGATTATTGACCTTGATCCCAAAGGGTAAGTACTTGAGTTTCTCTTTTCTTTACTTATTGGGTTTTTTCTTTTGTTGGGGCACATTTCGTGTTCATCTGATTTTTGCGGACATTGCATTGCACACCAGTGATCGTAGGATCACATAAAAATTGATGCTCTCTTTCTAAGATGGCTCTGGGTGGTATGATGTTTTTCATGGAACTTGAAAGAATACCCATTTTTTTATATTCCCATGTTTGAATTTCATTGCTGAACCGCCCCCAAAAAAAAAGGAGATACCTCAGTCAAATTGACGTGAGAATCACACCTTTAAGACCATAGAATTACAATCAAGTTGATACTTTTGCTACTGTGGTATGCTCTTTTTCATGGATCTGGCAAAGAAGACCTCAATGTATACATTCCAAGTTCCATTATGGAATATCACTGCTGAACTAGCTAAATTAAATTACCTTAAATCAAATTGATCCAAGAATCACACCCCTGAGATTATTACGGTCTCTTTGGTTTCCATGGAAATGGCCCATAAATGCCGTTTTGATGCCCTCCTAGGGACGGAGTTCCAGTTTTGTGTGGAGACCGATTCCCATGTTGTGAGACCTTTTTTTTTTTTTTTTGGAAATGTCAATTCCACCATAATACATGGAGTCAGCATTTCCGGGAGATTGAAAGATAGCTATGGGCCCCAAAAACTTGTGGTAAGTTATATCTTATAGTTGGGTTGAGGTCTGCCCAAAGAGGACCTCAAACCCTAGAGCTGCAATAATGATAATAATTAACATATAGTGATTAATAATCATCATCTAACCCTTAACCAATTATTTGGAGGTTGGTAATCTATAGTGATTAATATACACGACTAATAAATTATATATTATAACTATGCTCATTACTAATTATAATAATTATATATTATAACTATGATTAATTATATGTTATATAATAATATATTTAATATTGTTATATATTATAACATATATATTTATAAGTATATAATGTTTTATGATTAATTATATATAATTTGTATAATATAATAGATTTATAATACTATCAATATATATTATTGTAATACTATATAATTTCCTGGAGATGTTCCAGGCAGTCCAAAGAGTGGACATGCATCTTCCAGGTCTCTTACCATATGCTATCCAAACAGTTGACGCTTATGTTGTGGGAGATGTCAATTGTAAGAGAATAGATATTAATTTTGTGATTAATTGTATAGATCTTTTTGGGGATCTTTTTGGGTGTTTTGGGCCCCTAGTGGGTTTTTGTATAGGGCCCCCGCTTCACTGGTGGCCCTTTTTTGGCTTACAGATGTTTCTTGTAACTCTCTTGCACCTTTACTTAATACGTAACAGTTAACAGATTCAAAAAAAAATTCCAGGAGAGGCATCTCCCTTGAGACCCATTTCCAGGGAACCAAAGGGGGCCAAATATGGAATATCACTGCTGAATAACCCAAAATAAATTACTCAAATCAAGTTGATCTTAGAAGCACACTCCTGTGATTCTAATAATCACAGTCAAATTGATTTTCTCTCTCTATCTCCCCCTCTCTCTAAGATGGCTACGATTGCTCAAAAATACATTAGTTTTACATTCCGAGCTCTAAACCACCACATCTGCTAAACTACCCAGATTCAAAAGGGTTGCATACAATTAAACTCGTTCTTTTGATACAAGGTCACTAGCATCCTTAGTTGTTAGATGCGTGCGTCATTCGTCATTACAAAGTCCGATAAAAAATCACAATGAAATTGATACACTCTCTCTCTGAGTTCGTATGCCACACTGCTGGAAAACTCAAAACCAACAAAGTATCCCCCTTTTTTTATTTTTTCAAAGATGATCGTTTTCAAATGTGGCTATGAAAGATATGCTTGGAACTTTATATTCGAAAGAATATGCTTGAAACTGGTGTTTGGGTTGTGTTTAGTGACTTGGATATTAGTTAGTCTGTGTGTGTGTGTGAGAGAAAGAGAGATAGAGAGAGCGAGAGCTGCTTAGATGGGTTTTATGTCCAATTATGTTTTGAAACTGGTGTTTCAATTGATGTACAGTGGAAGGCAGATCACTTCGAGTGGGCAAAGGGATTTGGATCAGGTCGCTGGGAGGATTGCGGTAGTTGCTCCTTGATTTTTTTTTCCAACTGAATTTTGTAGGATTTTTAAAGCTGAGAAAGCTGAGACTATGGAAAGATTTTAAAGGTTTTAGATCGTGTTTGCTTCTGTGGATCTGTTTTTGGATTTAATATTTCTTTTTATGTAAGTTAATGTGAAACTGCTGAATTCTGGCAGGGATGATTCCATCAAAGGAACTACACTTCTATTTTATGGGTGCGGTTAGTATAGAGCCTAGTTTTAAACAATCAAATTAGAGCCTGCTTTCAAATAGTATCGAGAAATGTGGTTTCAATACCGGAAATCTTTGTGATAGCCTTAAAATATATTTTCATATTTATTTATAAAATTTAAGGCTTCAAAACTAGTATAGATCGACATATTTATGAAAAGTTGAAAATCTTGAAAATTGACTGTCCAAAAATGTGTTGTAAAATGCACTATTTTCAAAACAAGAAATCCATTTTTTTCTCGTGTCTGCATCTTGATATTGTGATGATCAATTTGAAGATATTAGGGCATCAAAACAACCTCTTCTAGTGTAATTTTTAAGGTGGGCTCAAATATGATTGTTTAGAGCCTTGGCTCTATATAAACTTTTTCCCTATTTTGTAGTTTTGATTTAGTTATACATTGCTAATTTGTACTTATTAAACTTTTGAGCGAGAGGCTTGGATCGCTGGGGATTCCAAAGTTGCTGGTGTGACTTTGAATGGGCCTGAGATGAATTGGATTTGGCAGGTGGATGAATCCGGATGGAGAAAAATCTGGAGTGAAATTGTTGGAATGGGTGCGGTTTGTATAAAGCTGAGGTTCTAAACAATCAAAGTAAAGCGCACCTTCAAATAGCATTGAGAAATATGATTTCAATGCTGGAAATTTGTGTCATAGCTTTAAAATATATTTTTTATTTTTAATTATAAAATTTAAAGCTTAAAAAATAGTATAGATTGAGTAGATTTATGAAAATTTGAAAATCCTGAAAATTGACAGTCTAACAATGAATTACAAGATGATTTTCCAAAATTCGAAATCTATTTTTTTTTACATGTCCATACATCTTGATGTCAAGATGATCAATTTGAAGACATTTGAACATCAAAACCTCTTCTAGTGAAATTTTTGAAGTGATTGTTTAGAGCTTTGGCTCTATGTAAACTTTTTCCTATTGGAATTGCCACATTGTCGTGGTTTTTTAATTGTTTTAAGGCTCTAGCCCGGTCTAATTTGAAATTATCTTGAGTTGGACCAGGAGACTCGGAATCAGGCCTTGAGATGGGTTTAAGTTTTCCGACAGTTCTATTCACCACGCAGTTTAACTTGGAAATGGCTTAAGTCAGATTGGAACTAGGGGTAGGTTGCCGCCGGGCCAGGTTTGGGCCTGCCTGTGCCTGGCCGAGACCCTAATTGAAATGTATACATTTATTAGGTCCAGTTTTAAAAACCTCGGGTGAAGCCTGATGAGGCTTGGGCTTCTTGTCTTTATTTTTTAACTTTTTAAAAAAAAGGGATATGGCATTTTTTTTAGGGATTTTATATAATGAAATCATTTATTTTTGATACAAGAAAGTCACAATTGCTTACAACCATACGATTTGAAATCCATCCGATGTTAAATCTGATAATTTGGTGTGTCTCTCTCAAAACTCATAGTAGCGCGAGACGATGAGAAAAAGTGAAAGAAATAGAAGGAAAAGGGAACACCATTAAACCAGCAAAGAAGGAAGAACAAATACGTGGTTTAGTTTTTGCTTTTTTTTTTGGAAAAACTTCTTTGCACCTGTGGCCTGGTTTGATACCTTTTTTTGAAAAAGTTCTTTGCAACTGCTGGCACACTCTATATACTTGAAACTCTCAAGATTGAATAAAGACCGTTGATTTTTTAGGGGCTGAGATCTAGGCGTTAGAAAACTCAAATTTTTAAAATTATTTTTCTGAAAATAATCTAGTGATTCTTAGGTGGTTCCCAAAATTTCAAATTAAAAAAATTCTCTCAAGTAGGTTTTCTTACTGAGGGAATGAATATAAATTATGCTTCTTGGGGAGTATAGTATACGTCGCCATACTAAAGAAGATTATTCACGTGTGTGAGAGAGGGGTGTGGTTAATATAAAGCTGAGGCGGTAAACAATCAAGGTAAGGCACACTTTCAAGTAGTATTTGAAAGATGTTATGTCAGTTATGAAAATCTTTTGGATAGCCTTAAAATTTATTTTTATATCGAATTATAAAATTTAAATCTTAAAAAATAGATCGGTTCCAATATTGTATATTATAAAATTAAATTATATATATCAATTCATAAATATATAAATTATAACATATATATTATTTTAAAAAATCGGGTTGGATACAAATCGGATCCACCTATACCCAGATCCTACTCAAATTACTATTCGGATTTAGATTTTAAATTTAGATGGTCCTAAATTACAACATCTTTTCCAAATAAATTCCCCTTTCATTGATTCCTTTTAAAGATTTCATTCTGAATTTAAATCTTGGATCAATATCTATATCCAGATAGATCAAAATTTCGAGTTTCAGATCCGAACCGACTAAATTCTCAACCGTAGAAAGAGGCATCCACATTTTGGAGGCAACGCTTCTTTATTAAAAAATTCAAAATTTTGAAAGGAGGGGCTCTTTTGGCAAACCAGAAATCAGAAGCGTATTTTCAGTCATATATAAATAACCGCTCCTTTTCTATCGTTTTCCCACTTTATTTTGAAAAACTTACGCAAGTGTACATCCTCCTCTTCTTTTGCAACGATTCAGTTTCATTTTTTTCAGATTAGTGTTTCACCTTTTTGTATTATTATTAGGGATTCTGATTATGAAGAATTTTAGGAAAAGACATCTCAGCAGCGACGATGAAAACAGTGGGCCAGAGGACGAAGAAGAAAGGAGGTAACCTTGCTCCAAACCCTAATTTAGGGTTTCTACTGTTTTCTGCGTCGTATCTTTTTATTTTCTAAGCTTCAGAGAAACCGGTATGCTATTGAAATGATATCAATCTTAGAATCTTGCGGATTTATTTGGATTTGAAATGTTGATTTGTATGGTTCCTCCTAAAATTAGGGTTTAGATGCATTTGAAGTTCTAGGGTTCTGGCTGCACCTGGAATTTCTATATCATGATAATTTTGAGGAAACCTAGTCCCGTTTCAAATTGGGTTCCTCTTTATGACATTGGGTTGGCTGCTTTTTCTTGAGAAACTAGAGTTTTTCTTTTTGCTTTGTATATTTATATATTGTATGTTAGGTTGACATTAGAAGAAGTGAAGTTTCTTCAGAAGCAGAGGGAAAGGAAATATGGTATCCCTGCGATTCCTAATTCACAACCAATTGGTGTGCTTGCGAAGCCTACTGAGAAGGCGGATGCAGACGGTGAGAAGGAGGAGTTGGTTCTGCAAGACACTTTTGCTCAAGAGACTGCTGTCACAGTTGAGGACCCCAACATGTATGAATATGTGTTCCTTCATTTGTTTGTTCATGTATTTGTTTTATTGATTGCTTGATGTATCAATTCGAGTTTTTTAATGATAATTTGGAGTTACTGTAAACTATTTAAGTGATCACAAGCTGTGGGGTCCTCGGTAACCCTTCGCTTGGAGAACAAGGAAGCCCAAGTATTGGGATCCCACCCAATATAGTGTACATGTGAACACAACAACAAAAAAAGTGCAAGAAATAAAGCAAATACAAAATGCACATCAAAGCTATGCACGACTTCTGTATTTCATCCCTAAGGGCGGCATCCACGACCTTGACAAGTAGATATCCACTATCACAATGAACATCACAACTTTGGTTTACAACAGATATACTTCTCTCTAAACATCAACAAAAACCTTTTGATCTTCCCTTCTAACGTCTCTCCTTAGTAACACTGCTTATCAACTTCATCTTTCCTATTACAATACCGCTGCCAGAAACAGAACTTTGAGAGCAATTGGGAGATTTGCTCTGTCTAGAAGTGGAAAGTATCAATCCAAAACTCCAGGAAAACCTCCTTGCTTTAGGGGGGAAATCTCTCTCTCTCT